GCAGTAATAATCAACAATACACAGATAGAGTCAAACTCTTACTGTATCAAAACATCTCTCTAGGCTAAGAGTTTATATCTAGACATTTCTCAAAACAATTGCTTTTTTTTTTTTTTTTTGAGTTGGAGTCTCACTCCGTCGCCCAGGCTGGAGTGCAGTGGCCGCTCCCAGCCACCGCAGCCTCGACCTGCTGGGCTCTGGCGATCCTTCCGCCTCAGCCTTCCCAGTAGCCGGAATTACAGGCATGCGCTACCTCGCCCAGCTGATTTTTTGATTTATTGTAGAGATGAGGTCTTGCTGCCCAGGTGGGTCTCGAACCCGCGGGCTCAGGAAATCCAGTCACCTCAGCTTCCCAAAGGCATGGGATTACAGGCTGAGCCACCGAGCCCGGCTATAATTGCTTTTCTAAATGTTTGCAGCTAAAGATACTTAAAGTCCAATTACAGTTCCCAATTGATGGTCAAAACATTAAAAGTTTACTTATTAATTTGAATATCTGCATTGTCTAATGCATAATAGATTCTCAATCAACTGTGCAACATGATTATCAAAAGTTTCATAGAATAAGTAGCTTCCTTGTTTATTCTGCTCCCTGAAAGTTCACCCAAAAAGTGCCCTAAAATTATTATTGCATAGGAATATGCCAATGTAGGACCTCCAGAATTTATGAAGTTGGAGTTTCTTGTTTTATCTTGGTAGATGATGAATCTCCGAGAAAGTTTTGGCTTTCTAACTTTCTAAGCCTCTTCCAACTTTGAAGATTCTAGTTTAACCATTTGTGTAAACTGGGGCAAGTCACTTTGCCTCGATAAACCGTAGTTTCGTCATCCAGAAGAAAATGGACAAGATGCTAACTGTTGTTGGACAAGATGCTAACTTTAAGGGACCAATCGATTATAAAATTTTGCAGGTCTATGTTTTTAAAGTTTGCTAATGCAAAATTTGCAGACATTGAACATTCCTTTGTTTCTGTGATACTTCACTTAGAATAATGGTCTCCAACTCCATCCAATTTGCTGCCAAGTCCATGATTTTGTTCTTGAAGTGAATACTGCATGTTCTCACTCATAAGTGGGCCTTGAACGTTAGTAACATTAGCACAAGGGAGGGATCAGCAGTCACTGGGCACTGCTAGGGGAGGGAGGGAGGAAGGAAGGTGAGGAGCACGTGACAACACAAGAGTACTTGGTTCATTACTAGGGGAGTGAGGGGCAGTTAAAAGTCCAAACTTCACCTGCAGGCGGCCAACTTATGCAGCTAATCCTCACTGTACCCCATGTTCCTATAATAAAATACAATTTTTTAAAAATTTAACATCATGACTCTCAAGCAAATAAAATTATATGATTCTGTGGCCAGAAGTTTATTAAAGTAAAATTTCCAGAAAGGTTAAAATATGATTCCTAGGCAAATGTAAAGTGCATATAGATTTAAGATCTTATTCAAATAATTAACTAGTGAGTGAACCAGTAAGACAGTAAAACCATTTAAAGGAGTACATCAAAAGCTAAACATTTATAAGCAATATTAGAATAAGATTGTTGTACTAGATTTAAAACTGTTTAATGTCCAACAGTGCGATCATTAGGGTTATCACTTCCACCAGAAAGAAATTATTTTCATCTCTATGGAACAAAAATCTACAAGTTAACCTCTGCCCTAATACCTTGTTAAATGCTAAATTTTCAACAGAAAATTGAGGCCAGCGTTGCACTGAAATAACACCCAAAAATTTCTTCTGGCTATTTCCAAGTTTCAGATAATTTTTCTGACAAGTCAAGTCTAATTACCTTTCATGAATGAAAGTTCATAATTGTTTATTATGCTACTTAATTTTTAAAGAAAAGTCTTTATCATCTTTATTTGAAAGCCATGTTCAAGTTTCTATAGCATTTTCAGATTAGCGCTTTAAATGTGTCCTACCTGGTTTTGTACTGAAATAAACAAAAAGAATTTCATCAGTGTGAAAGTATTTTATTCATTATATAAAGTAAAGTGTATTTGAAGGAACAATAGAATAAACAGGCTACTATGTAAATCCAGAGATTATCTAAGAGAATAAATCTAAGATAAGTTATATTTTGATAAGTTATAGTCCCCAGGTACCTAATAAACCTAATAACTATGAATGCCATAAGGAAAACTTTACACATAATTGTAAGATTCACTCCAAGCAAAGAGAACCCAAAACTAAATATTTTCACAAAGTTTATGACATCTGGTTAACTAGTTTCATATCTAAAACAATGCTGCATGTATATCAAGAGAAAACATAATGATCACTAATGACTATATCAAATACATGTATACACAAACACATTCCTATAAAATTCTTGACTATTCAATTTTTTTTTCATGGATGAATAGCAAACATAACTCTATGCCTAGCTTTTAAAAACTAACACATCTACAAAAGAAAATAAACCCATCTACAAAATACAAAGTACACATCTTTGATGTCTAATGATTTATTATAGATTTTTAAGATACATATTTATTTTAATATCATTAGCTTAAAGAAAATAAGTCACCCCAAGAATAAGCTTTTGCATGTCTGCTAAAGTAAACTACTATATTTTAAATTTGTTATCAAATAAACCCTATATTCTACTTATGTGAACCAAATCACAGCATGATAACCTAAGTACGTTTCAAATGCACAGAGTATTCTCATTGTTTCAATAAAAAAGATTACCTATTAAAATTAAAAGCCTGGCCTTCAGCTATCCATTAGTAACAAATAATTTGTGAATTATTCATTGATTACAAAACAAAATAAATTGTTAAAAAGCAAAGGTGATTAAAACAAACATATGTTACTGGGCTTTCCATTCAACATTAAGCATTTTGGAATAACTGAAGGCAAATAAAGAAAGTTAGACCCTCACATGGAGGGGCTGGGCTACCCAAAAGCAGTGTAGCTTAAGACACAAAATGAAAGCTAGCTTCTAAGAAGCCTGTAAGTCCCACCATCAATATCATAAATTTGGATTGAGAAGGGATATTATTTTATAAAACAAGTTAAAATGCAAATATGTCACTCTGATAAGACAAGGCATCAGGCAACTTGCCAAAAGAGGTCTTTCAAGCCAGTGGCTCCAAGCTTTTGGTAGGCTAGTTTTCATCAGAGGGATGATTTATGAGATGAAGAAAAGGATCTTAAAAAGCCCAGAGACATCAAGCAAAAGTGGCAAGTCAGGAGAGTCAAGGAATACTATAAATCTGAGGAGGCAGAAAGAGGCACTCAGGGCTGCAGAGAGATAAGCTAACCTAGGGCAAGCAAGGCAAGTAAGGGCGCTAAGAGTAGCACTTGAATGTGAGCCTAGAAAACTATAATTAGGGATCAAATGATTGCTCTCTCCTTGGCCCATCTTCTCTATGTTATTTTGACATTTTACTCTCTACATTTGATAAATTAGAATCTATAGATAAATTTTTAAAATCTGGCCTCTAGAGTAATGTTGTTAATAGTTCTAATTCCCACTGATATTGAGTTACCCTTGATCAGAACACAGGAAATGTGGGGCACTTTAACAATAACAGAACTGAAAAAAAACAGGAAATAATACATTATAAGCATCCTCAAATTGTATTTTTAAACTTTCAGGAAATGAAAGTCACTATACAAGCTTTTAAATAAGAGAGTGTGTAAGGGTGGGAAGATAATGACAATTTGTTCTAAATTTGAAACTTCTATATGAATATCTGTTGTACATGATGATCTTGGATGGTGTCCAAAGACATAAATACCCAACATAAATACCCTTCCAATCTCATTTAAAAAGTGGTAGAGAGAGTTTGGAAAGAATTATTTGAGGTTTAATATTGCCAAAACTCACTGTTTTTGTTTTAGTCATGTGCTTTCAAGGAGAATTGATCAGAGTCAAATTTAATTTATTTTGTTCACATTTCCCATATTTGCATAAGCCAGAAAATATATTTAAACACACTCAACATCTGGACCTATTCTCAATATCTGGGAGTATCAGTTGAATCAAATTAAACATAATTACATAGAATACATTTTTAAATCTACTATTATTAATAAAAATATACAGTTATTATAGTATATCTTTGTAAAAAGAACATCATTTTTAAAAAGATACTCTACTAGTACATTTTCAAATAGGTAACTTCATAGCTTAAATGTGTTTATTGCTAAGCCACTAGACATAAATTTAACTGAAATGGTGAGAAAAAAATATTTAATATAAGCTGGGCTCGGTGGCTCAGCCTGTAATCCCGCACCTTTGGGGGGCTGAGGTGAGTGGATTGCCTGAGCCCGCGGGTTCGAGACCCGCCTAGGCAGCGAGACCTCATCTCTACAATAAATCAAAAAATCAGCCGGGCGTGGTAGCGCATGCCTGTAATTCCGGCTGCTCGGAAGGCTGAGGCGGAAGGATCGCTGGAGCCCAGCAGGTCGAGGCTGTGATGGCCGGGAGAGGCCACTGCACTCCAGCCTGGGCGACAGAGTGAGACTCCAACTCAAAAAAAAAAAATTTAATATATAAACTGTCAGATAAGGATGAGTCCTATACTGACAAGAAAATAGATTTCTAAAAAAGAATGAAAAATGATTCTTGCTGCTTAAATGGCTATTTATTGATATAATAGAAAATGTATTGATGATTTTGCAAATAAACTAGCATTTCTATTGTAGACTCTGAAGAGAGACCTCTGGTAGTGTGTGGGACTGCTTTGTTTTAACAATCAGCAACAGAAGTACATCAAGAATCATTTTCATTAGTATTTGGTCAGAACAGTCAAAACTAAATAAAATGGAGTCAGTACCTCTGGTTCACACTATTCTGTTAAATAACATGACAAATGTTTTTAAACGTTAGCTAGAATAACAACTGGAACTATTCTGTAATCAGATGTTGAGATTCACATAGCACGTTAAAGAAAAATATAAACAAATATTTCTTGAGCCATATATATATTTAGAGACCAGGTTACCCAGGCTGAAGTGATCCAATCACAGCTCACTGTAGTCTCGAACTCCTGGTCTCAAGCAATCCTTCCATCTCAGCCTCCCCTGATGTTGGGATTACAGACACGTCTGGCAAGCGGTATGTTTCTAAAAACCTTTTTTTAAGTCTGCATACAGTGCATCATAGCAACTTTGTTAAATACATTTATTTTATGTATTCATCTACACTGTCTCATTCATAAAAGGACTTGAGATTGGTGTACTTAATTTAAAAACAAAAACAAAAATGAATAAATATATCTAGCACTGTAGCCAGGAGATCCTTTTGTCATTCATTCATAGGTAATACTTTAGCACCATGCGCATTGATGTAGGTGATAAGAATTTTGGCTCTCTGTTCTATTACGTCAATAAGCTTTTCAATTCCTTGTCTACCTCCTTGACTTTCCCAATAAACTTTATCAAGAAACAGAGACTGAAGGAGTTTCTGCCGTAAGTGCTGGCTCTTCAAAATTGAAACCGCAGATTCGGGAAACCTGAAAAGATAAAATGATATTTCATTCTTAGTGATTGCTTGGGATATTTCATTCTTAGTGATTGCTTGGGAATATTATTCCTTACTCAGTTGCTCTACCCTTCATTAATCTGGCAAACGGTATCTTTGAGAAACAAAAAAATTTTGTCACTGCCAAATTGACACTATTTTTAATAATGATATACTAGAAGAATGTGTTTCAAGTAAACTGAATTTCTATATCATTCAGAACTTGACACACTAACATTTTACTAAAGGTCATTATATGCAGTCAAATAGAGGCACAGAATTAGAAAACGAGTCTATTAAACAGACAAAAATACTTTCCTTAATCTTAAGCTCATTTCACCCACAGAAACCTCCTTTAATCTGTCAAGTAGAATAGTATCCTTGTAACTGTCAAGATGAGGTTTTATGCAAACAAATATGAGAGGCTAAATTATGATGATTTCAGAAAAGTACTCTTCCTGAGCAGAAGTTACACAACTGAATTTAATGTAAAATAATCCAAAATGTGTGTACTAAAATGAGAAAAGAATCATTCAAAAATGCCCAATTAAAAAAAGAATTGCCTTTAATTCAGATGATACTTCAGAAATATTGAGGATTTGAGAGCATTTTATTTTACTGGAGTATTACACTGTTTTCAAATAAATTTAGTAAAACACAAGTTTTAGAGCCAGGACATTCCACAGTGAATGTCTCTCTGGAAAACCTAAGGCCAGTGTAGAAAGTCCTTGCTGAATTGCCTGAAGAGACTTATATTGTCTCTTCCTCATTGCTTTTCCTCACTTAGAAAGCAGAAAGCCAAGAATCCAGCAAACATTATCTGAAAAACTTGGCAAAATTTCTGGATCAAAATTGTAAGTAATATTTTGCTAAATCCTCAATTTGACCTTTCCCAACTTTCACTAAAATGCTGAGGAAAGCACAGTAAAAAATATTGAGGATTAAAGGTAATTTTCAAATAAACTCAGTTGTCCCTTAAAAACTATAGCAAGGACCAGGCTTGGTGGCTCAGCCTGTAATCCCAGCACTTTGGGAGGCTGAGGCGAGTGGATTGCCTGACCCTGCGGGTTCGAGACCAGTCCGGGCAATTCGGCGAGTCCTCGTCTCTACAATAAATCCAAAGTTAGCCGGGTGTGGTAGCGCGCGCCTGTAGTTCCAGCTACTTGGAAGGCTGAGGTGGAAAGGATCGCCGGAGCCCAGCGGGTCGACGCTGGGTGTCCATAAGTGTGCCACTGCATTTCAGCCTTGTTAACGGACTGAGACTCCAATTTAAAAAAAAAAAAAAAGAAAACTATAGCAAGAATATACTTCCATGCTTGTTTAAAGAGCACACTTGGTCAAGAATTTCAGGCCTTTTAAGCACTTCTTCCAAGTTTCAATGGAGCACAGTGGAGATGTGCACAGGGTACCTGAATGCAGAGGTTCACATGCTATAGTGGTTCTGATGCTGCTGAAGCACCAAAGTTCGCAGAGCTAGATATGCTTAATGGGTCTGAGTAGGAATGGGATGAAAGAATGCTAATAAGATGCTCTGAGTCCCCTGAAGACATTACTATATAGTTTAGTGGCTATAGTATTAAGCAGCATTTTTGCTCTATGAGGTATTAATAATCCATGACATAAAATTCTATAGCTCTTCTACTCATTTAGCTGTGGCAGAATGCTTGAGATGAAACTGTTAAAATTGTGAATCTCTTTAGTGGCTAATCCTTTTTATAAAGGAAAATAAAAATATTACCTGTCTTTGCATTACACTGATTAATAAAAATATTCAATGCATAAATCTGGGATTAGCAAAGTCTTCATTTTTGCTTCTCAATGTATGAATTATATGTTCAAAGAAGATTTAACTTCAAACCCATTACTCCTCACAATGCATTTAAAGTTAAATCTTCTTTGAAAGACTAAACAAGAGTATTTATATTTATATGAATGTATGAAATGGATAAACTATATTCTCCAGGTACTCTTAATTCTAAGAGGAATTTAGGCCCTGAAATATCAACTCAGTAAGTGATGTCTTAGAAATGTAAATTTTTCAATACGTAAAGTTTCTTTAGCCTAGACACTTCAAAGAGAGAATCAACAACATATTCTGCCTTTAATCCATAAAGACATGTGAGAAACAGGCATCAAAAGAGCAGGACATAGTAAAAACTCACGCATTTGGGCCTCATGAAACTCTCACAGGAACAAACAGTATTGCTTTTAAGGTTTAAGTGTATAAATCCATATTACCTAAGTGTATAAATCCATATTACCTAAGTGTATAAATCCATATTACTCTTGTTAATAATATTCTGGAGCATATTACAATCGTTCTTCCTAACACTTAGGAAGTTTAGGAAGAACGATTGTTTAGGAAGAACGATTGTAATGTGCTCCAGAATATTATTAACAAGAGTAACAGAAACAGAGCATGAACACCACAAGTTATTAGAGGAAAAAAAAACCAAATCACTAGACTTGATTTGGAAGACCTGGATTCTAACCCAAGTTAGATTTGCATGTGTGCTTTCTAGGAGTCACTGAGCTTCAGACAGATGGCTAGCTATTATACTAATGTACCCTCTATTTTTAAGTCTCCAACCTACCCGATACGCAGTCAATCTGATTTCCAACTAAGGTAGGAATTATGTATGTGGAGGGTGGCTCTGCCCACTATAAGGTGGAGTTTGAAATCTAGATGCATTTTCCGTAGCTCAGGTTGGACAGCTCACACTTTATAGCTGAATTCCTGCCATTACTGTCTCAGTTTCCTTTATTTCCACAGACATAAGATCAAGTGTGCTATGAGCAGTCATTGTGTTTTAACTTCTACAGTACACAATTCTTTAGTTCCACATTGGTCCCCTTACTACTCTGTGTTCTTCCTGAGGCCTGTCAGATGTCCCCAGATCGTTGAGGTCTCTCCTGGATTCTTGACCAACCGTAAGTACAGAAATACTTCTACCCTAACTGGCCTCCATCAGACCTTCCTCTTGGGCATTAGATTCTTTCCCCCCATAACCTACGGCAACTGGAATGATTTTCAAATGCTCAAAAATCCTCTTTCTTGAATTAAACAGTCAGCTGTCCTTAATACTGTGCCATCTTCAGCAGATTGGCTCTCGTTTTCCACTGCATCCATAATAGTCACTTGAGTTCACTATGAATTTGCACATCCTGTGTGTCAATATTTGCATGTCTATTAGTTCTTCCCATGTCCTACCCTATGCCTAATAATGAAGTCTCTGCCACCTGCTCTGGTGGTCCCTGCTCTGCCAGTTCCTATTCCAAAGATTCCTGCATTTTTCCAGTCTTATGTACGTAGATTTTCACAATGAGGGCCAAGCAGCATAATGAACGTAAGATGTAACAAGGGCTTTGTAGATAGTGTGAGCCGGTGATGGAGAAGCCATGGCTAAGATCTGCTTGTTCTACTTGGGTTTATTTCCCTTCTCTGGGTTTCCATTCCCAGATTTCATATTACATTCACAATTATTTCCAAGGGTTAAAGTGATCAGATGTAGGGAGTGGGTTTCTTAGAACCTTGCTACTCATGTAATAGAAATGTGACATTGCTACATTTAAAACTTACTCTTTGATGCCTTCTAACAATTTGAAGTTTAAGTTATCTTCACTTCGGTCAAAGAATCCCTTATTGTCTATAAAGACCAAATGTCTTGGGTCATGCTTTCGCTGGATAATGTGTGCTAGAACCGCAGAATCTTGGTCATCACATTTTGACTTCAATCCATTCTGGACACAGGCATCTTCCTTGCGAGGTCTGAATCCACAGCAATTTGTATCTAAGCGATTATATATCTGAAAATGGAAAACAAAATCCAAGATGCTGAGTAAAAGCAAAACTTGGGAAAGCTAGAAGTTTTCCAAAGACGAGTGCTTTCTGAATAGCTGACTTGCCAGAATCTAAGAGGGCTGGGCTCATTTAATTAAAGGCAACTGTGAGAACCAGTCCAAGGTTCACATCCTTCTGACTCAGCCATGGTTATAAGCATTTCCAGCTTCTGCGAACAGCTCCAATGCCAGAGCATTCAAGTTAGGCATCTCCACCCTTAATATTCAAAGTTCCCACTGACATCACATACAGACACACAGCCAGCAGAATCTCTGACTCCATTCATGACAGAAGAGACACCATGGTACTTGTACAGACACAGAAGGCTATATCTTGTTTTCTGCCTCGGGCAGGTTTATGGAAAATCTGAGTTACCTCATTGGCACTAAAGTTTATTGCATTCTCTAACCTCTTCTGGCTTTAGTGTTACAGTAATCTAACTGAAATAACATAGAAGAAAGCTACTGAAAAGATGTAAGATCCAATAATGAAAACAAAAAACACGACTTATATGGAGGTCACAGCTAGATTCTGAATAAGTGAGCAAGCAACCATGCACTGGCATAGCTCAAAGGATACATTGTTGGTCTAAAAACAGTGGACTGACAGGGAAGGTGCTGTCAGGACCTGTTCCAGGCAGCTCCTCCACGGGGCCATAAGTCAAACCCATGGTTTATCTCCCTGGTAATAATTGAGCAGAATAAACAAAATGAACCTATTAGGTTTTCTTGTAGGTATTGGGGTACTGCCCTAAAGAAAAGGGTCACTAGAGAATTGTATAATTTCATTTCTTTAGGACAGGGAACTAAATAAATGAAGTGGTTATTTAATTTTATTAATCCTGGTAAAATAAGGCTGGGCTCAGGAATTAGATACATTTAAATCCAATCTGTTTTCCTATATGTTAGCTCTGTAACCTCATACAGATTCCTTCACATCACTGACTCTGTTTAGTTACCTGAATAATGGGAATGATACTCTTTACCTTGCATAGTTGATAGAGTAATAAAAAAATACCTGGACACTTTCCAGTCCAAGCCCAAGCCTCTACAAGATATTCAAAAACTGAAAATTGTTATTACTTTTGTTGTGACACACATATACACCATATGAAGTGATTTACTCAAAAAAGGCAAGAGGTACTTCGTCCATTTTAAATGAAGAAAAACTGAGCCTCAAAGAGATTAAGTAACCTGCTCTCAGTTTAATATTAGTAAGCAGCAAAGTTAGAATTTAGAAATACAGCTGTTTGTCTCTAAAATTCCAGTTTTTTCCCCCAAGTACATCATGTTGAATATTTTAAGGTTAGTCAAAGACTTGTATGTGTGCGTGATTCAAAAGATGGCTAGATGAACACTGTTCCTTTTATTCTTTTGACATTAAATTCTGATCTTTTTCTCCTCCACATGTTTTTTGCAGTTCCCATAGGGCTGTCTACTCCAGGAAGCCAGTTATTCATAAAGGGACACCAAAAAACAGTGCCAAAATTTAGCCTACTTTGAAGTGATCATTCATTCATCCAACAAACATTTATTGAGCATCTTCTGTGTCCTATTGATGAACTTCATGCCAATGCAAGTGTTGCCCATGGCCAGCATCTTTCCACCATCACCACTTTCAAAGGAAAATGAAGTGGTTATTTAATTTTGCTTTGCTACCATAGCAAATATCTAGAACTAAGCAAATGACCTCCCCTTTCTGTTTTCTGCATATAGGTGGACTTTGTATCAAATAGCATGCTTGAGAGCAGGGACTGTAAAGGAAGTCAGCATAAGCCAATTGTCTATGAATTGTGTAAAGCCAGTCTTGTGGAGCAGACATGGTGAGCAAGCAACCACGCACTGGCACAGCTTGGAGTGTACACTGCTGGTCTGGAAACAGTCGATAGATAGGGAAGATGCTGTAAGGACGTGTCCCAGGCAGCTGCTCCATGGGGCCATAAGTCAAGCCCATGATTTACAAAGGTCACATAGCCTGGCTCCAGGAACTGTAAATTACCATAACTTGTTCATGTGTATTTGTTTGACATGAGCACAGGAAGGTTTCCCAAAGGTGAACAAGACTGTCTCAAGCAAATCACTACAGGTTGGAAGAGCATATGGAATGAAAAAAGCATACATTAGAAACTTTTAGAAAAATGTATTGAGTCTTTTCACTTCAATTTCATTCATTTTATGTAGCATCTTCATTGCCTTTGAATATATGAGAAATCAAGTGATTATTTTAAAAACTGCATCTGATAGCCAATTATTTAAGCTAAATTCACAAAGAACATGAAACATAACTTTTCTAGAAGCTACTTCCCATCCAGTTTCCTCTGTTTTATATACATTAGCTAATAATTCTCAAAGAATCTCTGTAAGATTTTATCATCATATGTTTATATCCAGATATATCAACATTTATATATGGTAAAAAACTAAGTCCTATTTAATTTTTACTACAACATCAAAGTCTATTATGTTGGGCATATGTGTTTAGAATCTAACCTTAAGGACAAATCTACCAACCTTTTCTTAAATACTGCTTCAAGTCCTAAGCTCTTGCTTCATTGTTAATTTCATAGCAGTGGGAAAAGGACTAAGACACATAGCCACATTTGTTTCTACAACAAAGCCATGAATATAAAATATATTATTTTCTGTTTTTAAGCTACATGAAAGCATTAAAAGTTAGAGGAAGAAAAGGTTGAGTTAGGTCACCTTTTTATTGCCTTACCAACATTAAATTGTTTCCTACAGTGGATTTTTAAAGTGTTTCATTTGATCAAATCACTCAACAGTCTGTGGTGATTTCACCACTTCCCTGACAGACAGTTTTGCCATTCAAGTCTAATAGATATTATTACGGAAAACGGGTGTGCCTGTTCAGCTCAACCTCTCTTTGAGAAAACATTACCACTCATTTTATTCAGATCCATGTAGGTACCTGATGGGAATATTAACACGTGTTAGGTGTGTGTGTGTGTGTGTGTGTGTGTGTGTGTGTGTGTGTGTGTGTCCACCTACAGATGTATAAAGCCTCAAATAATCTGAGTTTCACTATGTTTTCCTTATCCTTCAACTATAGTAAATTATATCTTTGCATTATTGCCCTTGTCTAGCAAGGACTTATGTACTTCTTAAGTCATGTCCTCTCACTCTTCTCAGAATTTTGCTTATAGACTTACTTTTGAATTCACATTCAATATACCAAAAATAATTTAACCACCAAACCATAATCCGCTCCCTTAAATTCAGTGCCATTTTGTTTAGCAGTTCATCTAGTTATATATTGAATATATTTCTATACACTTTTAGCACAACTTACCTATTTTTAAAGCCTAATAAAGCATATCCTACATAGCTATGAATACATAATGTGGCTTTAATATACTTGTTTAGTGCACACATTAGACAATCACTTCATTTAACGATTCCACGATTAAGCACTATAGTTCATGTCTACAGGTATATGTTCTTAGGCGCTTATCCTACAAAGAGAGCTATTTGGGGGTCAATTCTGTCAGTTAAGGAATTGTGTTAATCCTCATAACCCAAATTCACATCGTCTCATTCTTTAAAACAAAGAAAAATCTTTCTCAAAACTGATCTCCTGTATTGAAGATTATTGCCAACCACCATTTTCCATAAAATCACTCTTTCCTCTTTTAGGAAAATATATCTTTTCAATGTTTACCTAACTAAAATTATACTCAGAAAAACCCAGGTATTCCAGCCAAAATTTTTTGTTGTTGGTGGTGAGATATTTTTAGATATATTTCCTTCTTTAAACTTTTTTTAAAAATTTTTATTTTCCTTTGGTAGTGTTAGTTTTGCCTGTAGGAAAAAAGTACCTTATGAGTTACTAAGGTTATGCTAACAGGGCTGCCCTGCTGCACCACCCTGGCTTCCCATGACACATTACAAATCGGCAAAAGCCCAATGACTCTCCACCCCTATGCACACCATCACGCTAGCTATGTCTTCAAAAATGTGTCTAACAAGCCATTGTGCTAGTTTATTCATATCTTCTTTTACCTCAAAACAATGTGATTAAACAACTAATTTCAGGCAATGTCTGAACAAAGGCAATTTTTAAAGCCTATATTTATATATTAAGTATATATAAATCATATAATGCTGCTTCTGTTAATAATGAAAAACATTCATACCAGTCATGTATTGATTGGCATGTGCCATGAACAGCTCACTTAATGCTTTACATATATTATTTAATTTAATCTTTATAGTAACCTTAAGAAATAGGTGCTAGCCAGGCTCGGTGGCTCAGCCTGTAATCCCGTGCCTTTGGGAGGCTGAGGTGAGTGAATTGCCTGAGCCCACGGGTTCAAGACCCACCTGGGCAGCGAGACCTCATCTCTACAATAAATTTTAAAAAAAATCAGCCAGGCATGGTAGCGCATGCCTGTAATTCCGGCTATTGGGAAGGCTGAGGGGGAAGGATTGCCAGAGCTCAGCAGGCGAGGCTGCGGTGGCCGGGAGCGGCCACTGCACTCCAGTCTGGGCGACACAGTGAGACTCCAATTCAAAAAAAAAAAAAAGAAATAGGTGCTACCAATAGTCTCATTTGGCAAATGAGGAAACTGGGGCACAAAAGGGCTAGTTGACTTCTCCAAGGTCCTTCAACTCATAAAGGATGGAATTCAGGATTCCAACCCAGGTATCTAAGACTGCAAGGTCTATGTTCTTATCCATCTTCATTTTATCTCTCAGGTGTAGTCTACAAAGAAATACTCCAAAAAGCAAGTGTATTTGTGTAGAAAATTAAATTACACTGAGCTCAACAGACATTGGTTATAAGGATTTCATCAGATATACAAAGAATTTCAGTGTAGGAGCTCAGAGAAAAGCTCATAAAAGAGAGGGTCAGATAGTGTTAGCTAAAAAATAAGCAAAGGCATGAATGTCAAGAAATCCAAAGGTATCTTTAGAGAAACAAGGGGTCTATTTGACCAGTGTTTCTA